TCTTACAAAAACTAAACTCGTTATCTTGTATTAGTATAAAATTATTTTTCACAAAGAATATCACATCCAATATGTAAACTACTCCCCACAAACGTCTTAAAAAAAAAGACAAAGAATAATTTATTCAAAATTAACTTTTGATATATCAGAAATGTTCTCTTTACCAAAGACACTAAGATATATTTAGAAAAAAATAAATAAAAGATAAAATATATTCAAAAGAAGACATATTTAAAAAGTTCATAAATTATGTTTTTTATATAAATAAAGTTTGAATGTTTAAAAATCTCTATTTATAAATTTTTAAGTTAATAAAAAATCATATTTCACTTATTACTTCTATTTTTAAACTAATAAAATTTCTAATTACATATAATTTATAAAAAATTAATAAAATTTGAGGTTAGTTAAATATAATTAATAATATCATAGATTTCATTTCAAAATAATTTATAAAATTATTGAAAATAATTTAGAAAGTTAAATTATTTATGCAAAGAATATATTTACTTACATTTTTAATAATTCAATAAATATTTTTTAATTATTATGCTTATTTTATTAATATTTTAATAAATATATTCACACAAAAAAAATGAGTGAGTATATTTATGAAATATTAAGTAATATACTTTATTAATATGAAGATATACTTTCTTTACATTTTATTTTGATGATTTAGTATTTCTATTTTATTAGCTATTTTTATATATTTTAATAATTATTTAATAACTAGTTTTTTTAAGTTATATTTACTAATTTTTATTATTGTGAACGCGTGTGTGTTTCTACTTATGTTAGAAATTTGGGCTGGAAGCCTACGGAAAAAGAAAATACGGGCTCAATGAATGACATGTGTTACTTGGGCCATGTTGTTTTTCTCCAAGGAAAGGAGAAATTTGTAACGCATTATTCAATTAATTAATTACTAACCTAAATATAATTTAACAGTAATTTGTTACTTAATGTAATTTTAATTAAATATTCATACAGATATTTAATTTAAATACTCTTTAATTATTTTCATAGACACCCAAATTTTTTTAATTTAAATTAAATTAAAAATTGTAATTTTTATTATTTAATTTTCTTGGATAAAATATAATTGCAATAAAATTCATTCATTAACTAACAACTAAAAGTAAAACACTTATTTGATTATTAGTTTCATTAAGTAAAAATAAAAGTAAAAATTATTCATAAGTAAAAACCAAAAGTAAAACATTTATAAGGAGAGAGAAAATGTTACATACTGTATACATCTACTATCAACAATGACACTCCGATTCGATTGATGTATCTGGTTGAACAAGTGGTTTGACCTTTTGACTAGTTATGCTAAGAGTCAAGTTTATGATGATATTGAAACAACGGTCACTATTAGTACACATGTATAGAGATTTCTTTCAAATTTTAATTTTTTATGTGTTTTTTTTTCCTGCATTTGACATGAAATATCTGAAAACCCAGTTACAGTTTGAAAGAAAGATATTTTATAAGTAGATATTTAATGCCAAGATCATTTATCTTCTTCATAATACGAATTTCATGTTGAAACATATATTTTTGAAATTATTATTTTATTTTAGAATGATAAGCAGTTGATAAATAAATCGAGGACGAATATGTAGGTGAATAATCAAAATTATAATTATATTTTTATAGAATTCTTTTAATGTAAAAAAATTGTTAATTAATTTTACAAAAACAATGCAACAACTTCTTATTTGTTTGGTGATTTAATAGTTTGGTACCTTCATAAGCTACTACTGATTTTATAAAATAATCCCTCTTTTCAACAACCTGACAAAGTGAATTTTACAGACTTGTCCTCCACGACTAGTGTAGATAAATATATTATATTTTACTGATATTTTTGTGAAATATAAATATTTTTTTAGTGAAAACACAAATTTGTAGAAGTCAACATTTCAAAGCCAGATAAAAATAAATACATAAAAATAATAATTAATTATGTTTAATTTATTGAGGAAACATGATTTCAATTCCAATATAGAAAGGACAAATATTTTTATTGAATTTTAATTTGAATAAATTAAGAAAACCAAATTTTTCATTTTATTTGGTGTAAAACAGAAGTATAAATGTTCTAAAATAAAAAAAAGGTAGAATTTCCTGAAAATAAAACCACAACCATACGAAAATATATAAATTGAAAGACAGAGTTTCAGGTTTGTCTTATCACTTCTATTTACATTGGTGATTCAAACTCTTATGTGAGATTTGAACGAGTTGTTCACAATGGATCATTAAAAGCCACCGTCAGGTATAATAATAAAATAAGTTGAGATTTTTAATTCATTGGTAAATTAACTTCACATATTAGTTTAATTAAAAAATTAAAAGAATATAAACAAATATAAAATTTACTTTTATATGGTATATATACTTAAACATAAAATGACCCGCCACTGATGATTGATTTCAAAGATGAGAGAGAGATTAAGAACAAACAAGAACGTGTGTTGTTGTTACGAGGTCTGTGTCATTACTGGTCACGGCCTCACAACCGCAGTTTTGCACGGTCTTACATGTAATGCTCTTATTAATCATCACATTACGTGTCTCCTTGGATTTGGTGGGACTCACTTATTCTACTTTTCAATTTCCCAACCTACTCTTAGTACAATATTAGTGCCATGCCCAGTTTTTTTTTTTTTTTTTTTAAAACACCATCACAAACACAATTACTAAAATCAAATCGTATCTAACGCCTAATCCGACAAATTTCCTAAATTCAATCAATTCATTAATAATATAATAATAATATCATCCACCAAGATGCCACGTGGGGGGTGTCGCGGAACAAGTTGCTTGCATTGCATGCATGCAATGCAAATGTGTTGAGCAATGACTATTGAACACTTTGGTGGTGTATTTTATTATAGAATATTAGTCCATGGCAGTGAATAGATACAACTGTGCATAAAACAAATGGCTTATAATTATTACTAAAATAAACTTTGGGAACGAATAAAATTACATTCCTCAAAAGCAACAAGATACAACTGGAATGTTTGTCTTTCTCTCTCACCTGGGGGTTTGGGAATTTTTTTTTTAGGGTTTAAATTTGTTCCTTGGAGGCCTTTTGGCAAGGTGGATTGGGATCGGATTGGTCCAGTGATTTTGTTGTTGACGGGATCTTCTTTGGCAGAGATTGGTGAGGCTTCAAAGTAGCAACATTGAAGAAGTGGAATGAGAATAATAAGAGAAGGAGGAAAAGAAGGAACAAAATCTAAAGTGGGAGGCAAAGGAGGAACATATTGAAAAAGGGAACCGTATTGTAGGAGAAATCCCGCTACCTAAGAAAGTTAACTTCTTGTCAGTATCATATAACATCTGAGACCACTCTGTAACATCTAATTGTCTCCTCTATGGAGGTCTAACCTTTTGGTCAACTGGTCAAAGGTGGTCTTAAACCACTGTGTATATTGTATCAACCTTAAAAGAACATTTCTTTATCTTTCTATTTTTATATTTATTATTATATTTTCATTTGTCGTTCATGTTTGGATGTAACAAGTTTTTATTTTTTTAATTGATAGATTAATTACTTTATGTCAAGTGGGTATTTATTGATTAATTGATCCCTTGCGTGCTATTCAAATTTTCATTTTTTTAAACTTTTATTGAGTGATTGCATTTTACTTAATATAAGAGATAAATATTTTGTATTCAAATCTATTTGAAAAAAAAAATTGTAATAGAATTAAAGCAGATGAAATCATTTTATACCATGAACATTACATTCACACCTTTTTTTTTTTGGATTCTTAAATGACTTTAATATACTTTCATGATTTTAACTCAAATCCTCTTTATTTGCTTAAACAATTTCACTTCAATATATTTTGTTTTTCACAAAACCCCACAATATCTTACAATTTTCATTTTCGCAATACCATGCAACTTTCTTTTTTTTGTCAGTTTTGTTGTTGGGAGCATCCATCCACATGTATAGCAACAACCTGAGTTAGTCGCAAATAGTTCCGGAGTTTAAGTAACACTTTCTTTAAGATATATAACTCAGAAAAAAAGAAAAAGAAGATTGAAAAAAACATGGTGAACTGAATTATTTGCAACACTCACTCACCGACGTGGTAACTGTTATTTTTATCAAAGGTTGAAGTGGGGCACCAGCGATGGTAACGTAGCGTTGGATCCTATATATGTTTTAAGACCTTTTTCATTAGGCCTCTCTTTTTTTTTTTGGCGGAGCTTCCCGTTGGAATTTTGAGTTGTGTACGTAAACATGGAATCATGGTTTGAAGCCCTTTTGCAGATGATAACGAGATTAAAGACTATGTTCAATGTGTCTTGTGTTGTTGCTGCTTTTGGTCTTTGGAGCACCTATTCCAATCATTTCGAATTTGGACAATATAAGTATTATTATTATTTCTGTGTCTTTTTGTATTTTATTTTGGATTTCACATGATTTGAAACTTGGATTGGAGAGTTGATACTCCCCTGGGGAATATATTCTATTCACAGATCTGAGTTCTAAAAATTTATCTAATCCTAGTTTTTGCTAGCAGTTTACAAAGCAAATAGAGAGCATCTTTTGGAAAGCGGTGGTCGTCCCGTCTGTGGAACTGTGCTTCATCAATCTCTAGACGATCTGATTCTCACTCTCAGTGAATGTTTTTGAATCTTTTCATCGAATGGGATCGATATGTTCCAGAGGAGTTTGTTTGTTTGGGCTTGCCTCGGCTTTGCTTGGGTATTATGATGATGTGGGGCACCTCTCTGTTTTTCTTTTTAAAACAACCTAGTTTTGGATTTTCTTTTATTTTTTTCTCTGGTCCTTTTCTTTTCTTTTTGCTATCCCTTCTTCTATTATCCAACCAGCTTTAACCCAAAGAAAGCAGAACACTGTGGTTAATTGCCAAGGTTGGTTTGATCATTGCCCAGTATCTATTGTATTCCGTTTGAACCCCTTTCTCTCCCTCTCCCTCTCTCTCTTCATTTCGTGCTGTGATTCAAAAATCAATCAGAACCCCAGGGATCTTCTCATCGACCACTACAACTTCTACTGTTGTCGCATAAGCAACTGGTCTTAAAAAGCAATGTGGTGATGAGGTTTGGATTCGGGGCTTGAGGTTACTATCATGACGAGCTTGGCTTTTGTTTTGGATTCACGTGATTCGCACGGTACGGCAGCCAAAACTGCTTGTTGTGCTTCTTCTTGCTGCAGATTTGATGGATTGGACGCCCTGTAACAACTAACGGAGTCTGGGTCTTTGGGGTCATTGGAGTCTTTGGAGGAGAGAACTGCTCGGTCATTGTTCTGTTGAATCAAAATGTACCCACCACCCACAATTTTCACGTATCCCACCCTCATCAATGTGCGTCACACTTCTTCAATATAGTAACATAATTAAAGTTTGTCTGATACTGAACATCGTAATGTTATGAAAGAGTAATTCTTAATGCGTTTTGGTAAGATAACTATTAATAATAATAATAATAAAATCTGATTGTAAGTAACTTCAGCGTTAAGCAGTGTGTTAAGAAACCAATATGGATTATGCGTGAGAATGAGTTATGGGATGGAAATGATGGGTTAGTGATAGTAATATTGGGATTAGAGCGTGGTTGAGGAGGAGAGGGAAAGGAGCGTGAGAATGAGAGGGTTGGAAAGTATTCCATTTTCCTTGGGAGGGTGGCAGTGGCAGAGGCAGAGAGGCAGAGATACGGATATTGGGTTTGAGACACTAAAACCTCGTGATCGGAAAAGGCAGATCCATGGAAGACTGTTCCCGCTAGTCACGTGGGCTCTTTTGACTACCCATTACCCAATGACCAAAACAAACAACACCTCCCCCCACCGTCTCTCTTTCTTTTCCTCCTACCATTCCACCTCACCCATTCGCTACCCTATGCTATAAATCCAAACTACTCAACCCACAAACTCTGCCACACTTACAAACTCAACATACTTCCTTCCTCCTCCTCCTAACTCTACACCCAGACTCACTCCCTCGCTGCATCATTCACTCTTCCTTCCACCCACACTTTGTTATTTTCTATTCTCTCTCTTTCCTATTACACGCCAGTTGGGTCCCTCTCTCTGCTCACCTCTTTATTATAATTAACAATCATTATCATTTAACTTCTCTCTCCTGAACTCAAACCCCCACTACACCTATCATATATCCCTCCATTTCCAATTAACGACAACGTGGACTGCACCTGCTGACTCGTATTTCGACATCTTATAAGCTCACAAAGCTACCAGACAACACCCGCTTCTCATTTCTCCCCCTCAATCTATTACCATTCATTCACCTCTTTCTTCCAACTCCTCCCCGTTGCATTTCTATCGTCTTATTATTGCTTTTTCATCATCTTCTTTATTCTCTCCCTATTAATTTCCTCACTCACCGCCTCACCGCCCTCCCCTCAAACCCTTTCCGTTTCCAATTCCAGAGGCCCTTTGGCAATATCGATATAGCGTGAAAACAAAAAAACCCAGGATGCATCGCTGCTGCAGTGGCTCCCAGGGGCACGTGATGGGACCCTGTACATGTGGTATGTTTCACAGCCAAACCACCTCCTTCTCCATGCTCTTCTCAATGCCCAACCACAAACCACCCTGCCAAGATTCCGACATCTATGATTATTCCTTCACGCCCTCATCCTCTTCCTCTTCCGTTGACTGCACCCTCTCCCTCGGAACCCCATCCACCCGTTTCTCCGAAGACGAGGAAAAACGAACCCGCCATGAACGTCGCTCCGTTTCTAACTTCTGCTGGGACTTACTGCAATCCAAACACAACCCTCAATCCCAAACCAAATCCTCCCGAACCTCCAATAGCACCTCCACCACCGACCCTCTCCTCGCTCGTCGCTGCGCCAATTGTGACACCACCTCAACTCCCCTTTGGAGAAATGGCCCCCGTGGCCCCAAGGTAAATAACAATATATACCATCCCTCAAAACTTACGCTTCATACATTTTTTTCACAAGAAGATACAATTCATCTAACATAAAAATGAGCTTTTTGCATAAGTTTTCTCATGTAGAAGGTTTAATCAATATCTTCATTTTATTTCTGCGAAATTAAAGAGTGGTTTATGACTTTGTGTGTGAATTGCATTGCAGTCACTGTGCAATGCGTGTGGGATTAGATTCAAGAAGGAGGAGAGAAGGGCAAGTGCTGCGGCGGCGGCGCCTCCTCCGGCTTCTGTCGGCGTGATGGAATCGGCACAGGTGTATAACAACTCGTGGTACGCACACCCACAGAGTCAGAAGATGCAGTGTTTCTCGCCGGGGATGGGGAACGAGTTCCGTTTCGTGGATGATGGCGATCGAGACACCGATAACGGCATTCCGTTCCTCTCGTGGAGACTCAACGTCACAGACAGAACCAGCCTCGTTCACGACTTCACAAGATGAACGTTGAAAAAGAAAAAAAAAAAAGCATATTATAATAATATAGTAATAATATAACTATGACACAAGATATTACAAAAGGAGGTAGCTAGCTAGCGTAGTTACCTGGACTACGGTCAAGACCAACCAAACACACAGGCAGCTATACGTCAACGTTTTACGATGATGTTTTTGATTGTGATGGTTATGATGGTCTCGAATCGTGGATATTATGTTTCTTTTTAGCTTTTCCGTTTTGTTTGCTTCCTTTTCTCCGTCTTGCATAAGATGGTGTGAGAATGGGATAATTCTATATTCTTAGCTTGCTTTTTCTTTGGATTTATTTCTTTAACTTTCTCTTTCAGTTACATATAAACCTACTTTTTTGTTGCCTCACTTTCCCTCTTAAGTTTATATATTTATAGTTGTTGTTGACCATCAGACATATATATATATATGGGTCGTTTTTGAATCAATTAATTGGAAACACGTTCTATTATAACTTGAGCTTTGGCAGGTGCATGTCATGACTCGTGACCATTACCTCCTTTGAACAAGCTGTTTGTTTATGCTTAAGCAGACTCTGAAATTCTATAGTGGTTGTTTTCTTTTTTTTGATCCAGACATTCATACCCGACCATGCATAGATACAATGATGTGCGAGAGCGAGTGGGACATGGGTGCATTAAATTCCTTTGAACCAAATCAGATGGTCCAATGTGTCAACGTTGGATCACGGTTCTCTCTGAACCGGACACTGCGATTCAGAACAGCAAAACTGAATCTCTTTTTAGAATAATTTTTTTTTAATTAACATATTCAATATGTTTTTTAATAAAAACAAATTATTCATTATCTTTCTAAGACATAGAAGATCCTATTTAATTGTTATACATTAGATTTTCTTTTTTAAAGATGTCTGACAAACATTTACAATGTATTATGAGTTACGGTTGAAGTATATAAATACTTTGTTATGACAAAGGTTAATTATTATTTAAAAAATACTAATTAGAAATTCATTTGTATTCAGTCTAATTTTTAGTAAAGTACTTTTTACTGGTAAATGAACTCAAATAATTTGGTGAAAGAAAACCAGTAATCGCACTTGTTACCTCTTGCTACCTTTCTGTTTTTCCTTACTTAATAAAGTAGTGTTTCTTTTGCATAGCAGTGGTCAGTGTATACAGTGAGATAATCTCTATCTTCTTGGAATACCACATTGAATCTAATCATCCAATGAAGTTTATGTTGCAGTAGCATGGAACTGAGCTTTTCATCATAGAACCTAACATGATTGCTGCTACGACTTTTTAGTGGAGTATCATGTAAGAATTAAAATCACCAACGTTCACAGAAAGACAAATCAAACCTTAAACCTTGAATTTGTGTCTTTCATTTCATTACATATTCACGAAATTATGAAATTATTTTTTTCTATCATTTCTTATTGGATATATTTATATATATATATATATATATATATATATATATATATATATATATATATATATATATATACTTGCAAGTTCTTTATTATTTATTAATAATGGTTTGCCGACCAGGATGAGCGTTGTAGATTTATAAAATAGAAAATGATACTTTGAAAACTCAAATCCATACATATTTTGTAAATAACTCTATTTTAATATTATAATAATAGTTTTATTTTATTTTTATTTTTATTAAATCAGTCTATAGATTATTATATTAATAAAAGTGAGTTGTTTGAAGAGTTGTATGGTTTCTAGTTGTCAAAATATCAAGTACTCTTATAAAATTCACTTTATCAGCATGTCAGACAATTATTAACGAGTAACTGCAGTGAAGAAATATTTTTTCATACCAGAAAATTTAGCTAAGTTAGGTCTGAAATTTTACAGAAGATGGACTTCAAATTTTAAACTGCATTTGTAGTGATATGTACTGAATATCTATTAATATGATCTCAGAAGAAAAATTAAACTCCATCTTTTTGAAGTATGATCATGTTCCTTATCCACTACAAAAATAATATATATATATATATATATATATATATATATATATAACAAACTACAAAAAAAATGCTTATTATCTACTGGGTAAAATTCGTAGGTAATGACAAAAATCCGTAGGTTATTGGTAAGATTCGAACCCAAGTACCTCGTAGTTAGAGGCGATACTCCAACCACTAAACTATTAAGATATTTTGATAATAATTTACAAATAAATTATATTTATATTTATTCGTGTAAATATATAAATATAAAATATATTTATATTTTGATATATTTATATATTTGTATTTATATATTTGTATTTATATATTTGTATTTATATATTTATATTTATATATTTATATATTTATATTTATATTTATATTTATATATTTATATATTTATATTTATATATTTATGTATTTATCTATTTATCTATTTATGTATTTATGTATTTATATATTTATGTATTTATATATTTATGTATTTATGTATTTATGTATTTATGTATTTATGTATTTATATATTTATATATTTATATATTTATATATTTATATATTTATATATTTATATATTTATATATTTATATATTTATCTATTTATATATTTATATTTATGTATTTATGTATTTATGTATTTATATATTTATGTATTTATGTATATATGTATTTATGTATTTATGTATTTATATATTTATATATTTACACGAATAAATATAAGTATAATTTAGTTGTAAATTATTAGTAGAATATCCTAATAGTTTAGTGGTTGGAGTATCAGTTTTCAACTTTAAGGTACTGGGTTCGATTCTTGCTTGTGACAATTCTTTTAGTTTAATATAATTTACCTACGAATAGTAATTCCGTAGGTAATTACCTATGGAATTACCCACGGATGATATTACCTACGGATAATATCCGTAGGTAATGGATAATTACTCACGGATAGAATTCAGTAGGTAATATCCGTAGGTAATGTACACTTTACCTACGGATAGTAATTACGTAGGTAATTACCTACGGAATTATCTACGGATTATATTACCTACGGATAATATCCGTAGGTAATGGATAATTACTTACGAATAGAATTTCGTAGGTAATATCCGTAGGCAATGTAAAATTTACCTACGGATTTGTATCCGTAGGTAATATTTCGTAGGTAATAGGCTTTTTTTTTGTAGTGAAATAGAAAGCTTACAAAGGTATCTAAGGATTAAAAGCACGAAACGAATAACCATAGTTGCATTGTTAATGCATAATTTACTACTACAAAAACTACGATTTGTAATTTGATCATTCAAAACTACTATAATATTAATATACACCACTGCAAAAATATTTTTATATATTGATAAACCCTTATCATTAAAAATTATAATTCATGTAAAATAGGACTAAAATTAAAATAAATTTACATATAGATAAAATCTTATGGTTAAAAATTATAATTCATGTAAAATAGGACTAAAATAAAAATAATTTTATATATAGATAAAATCTTATCGTTAAAAATATGACTAAAATTAAAACTAATATTTATTGTAAGTATTTATTTTTTAAATTATTTTAATGATAGTGTCAATATTTTTATCAATTATTTCAACCAAGATTTTAACATTGTAGCGAATGTTTTCCTGACATTGATTTAACATGCATTTTCGTAATAAAAATAACAATAACAATACATTTAGTCTAAAAGAATTTATATAGACCATGAGGGATTAGAGACGACCAAAAGATAATAGGTGTAACGTGATAAGGGAGATACAAAGAGAATATTAAAAAGAGATTCAAAAATCTTAAAATATAATGATGACATGACAATGAGACTAAAGAGAGAGGTTTGATAAGAGAAATAAAATATTAAAGAGAAAATATAAAGTCTAAGTGAGAAAATGACTAATTGAAACATAGTAAATAATATTTATGATAATAATTATTTTTAGAATCAATGTCATATATAAGAATAATCCATATTATATTTACAAATGATGACCTTTATAAAAAATAATTATCATTATAATTAAATAAGATAATAAATATTTTAAGAATTATGTATACTATATAAATATGACAATGATCTTGACCATTTTAAATTAATTTCAAAAATATAATAATAGTAATTTTTTAATAATTATAATATAATTTTATATTGGATGTATTTAGTTAGTCCATAATATTTTTTTTACAATTAAAAGGGTTTTTTAATGGATATAAAAAAATATTTTTATATTTAAATAGATATAAAAAATATTTTTATATAAGTCAAATTATACTCAAAATATAATATATTATCGTATATATTTTATTTCTTTTTTTTCTGACTTCCTCTTAGTTTTTTTTTTCTCTTTCTCTCTCTTCCTTCTTTTTTCACATGTCATGGTTGTCATCTACCATTATATCATCATCACTTTATTGTTGTAATCATTAATTACTTTTTTTAATGTTTTATTTGAGTTAGATCATTTCATTCTACTAAAATTATCGATCTCTCCACCATTACGTCAGTACTAGGAATTATAAATATTTTGAAGAATACATTTTGTATTATACACATAAATTGAACTTAATTTTTGTTAAAGAATTCTTTTGTAACATAAGTTTCATACAAGTGTGTTCTCCTTGTGATAAATAATAATACAAGTAATGATTACCTTTTAAGGTATTTGTGATTAGTTTTTTTTTCTTAAGGACAATGTACCAATTTGAAATAATTCACATCTAGGAAATTTTGTTAAAGTTCAAATGTAAGTTGAGAAACATATAAGTAACTCATGTGCTCATTTTTAAATATCTCTTTAATGTCACCCGTCTAATATGTATAATAGTGATAGTTCGTCTTGATAATCAATTTAGTTAATTATAACATGAAGGTGATGAATCCAAGATTTGTGAATCTCCTACTCTGAAAATCTTCTTATTTGATTTTTCGAAAAATATGTCTCATTGTTGTAAATGATATTATAAGTAAATATCACTGTTGAGGTACTCATGATTAATGGATATTTTTGTTTAAGGGAGAGTGTACAAATATAAAGAGAAT